AAATTGACAATAATTTATTATCCAAGGATGGATAGAGGTGGGATGGGGGAATTCGTTTTGATGGATGGTTGTCCACTCTGTCGCTTCTGGGAAAGTAAAAAATGGTGTGAAGGCAGAACCTGAGAGGCCTGGGAAAGAAGTGGTCTTTCTCATCTCCTTGTGTGTGTGTATATATGTGAATCATTTTTAGAAGGGTACTTGGGTTTCTGGAGGCATTGCTTGAGGATAGAAACATTAGCATTTTTTCATATCTTAGATTAGGAAGAGCAAGTAGGGAGGGACTTAATCTGAGGAAGACAGTCTAGAGTAGTGATCAAAGGAAGCAGCACCAGAGCTGAAAGATTAGAGTTCAGATCCCACGGTGTCCATTATTCTGTGTCCCATTTAGCCCTGTGACCACGGGAAAATTTTCTGCTTCCTCGGAGCCTTACAGATACTACATCCCAACCACTAGAATAGGGTTACCAAGGAAAAACTGGAATATTACAGTTTCTACTTCATAGTAAATGCTTTCCAAGTGTTATTTTCTGAAAACATAGATGTTCTGGGTAAAAAGAGGGAAGAACAACAGTGGTAAACATTTTCTTGATACTGATTGCTGTGGGCCAGAGATTTCATTCAATCTCCCAAGATCCCTGGCACATAAAGGTACTACTAATATCTTTTCTTTTCCGAGAAGAAAACTGAACCTCAGAAAGGTTGAGCTTCATGTCCAAAGTCACTCAGCAATTTGGTATCTTCCCCTGGGAAGTTCCAGGAATGAGTCTGACTTCAAACATGTGGAACTTATGAGTCCCCTTGGCAAAGTCCAGCAAAACAAAATCAAAGGATATTTGGTTGGATGGTAGAAGTTGAGGAAGCAGGAATGTCTTTCATGTCTATCCTACATCCAAAGCCTATTAATCACCCATCTCCTCTACCTACCAGAGCCTACCCCTCTAGTTTTTGCTGGCTTGCCATTCATTGGGCACCATATTGGCCTGGAATTGAGAAAACAAGGCACTGGGGTCCTGTGGATAATGTGGGCTGTAGGGTTAAAAACCTGGATGCAAATCTTACACTAGCATTCACTGGCCAGGGAACCCACATATTTTTAGCCCTGATCTTCTCATTTGTAGGGAGGCACATTCCTTGGTCTGGGGAGGAGACTACAAGTCTTTTAATCTCATTTTACTTTAAATAAATGTTTTTAAATAGCCCAAATAATATTCCTTTATTAGCATAGCTATTTTGTTATTTTAGAGGTAGAATTAAGATAATGTGTTGGATTGTGATTTTCAACATTCATTAAAAATGTAACACACCACATGAGGAGTTTTATAACAATAATTTAGTGCTCCCATAAAAGCAGCTGTACCAATTGGAAATTAGCACAGTAGAAGCCTTAGGAACCCAAAGTCAGTCTGGCTATATTGCACATATGACTTTGCCCCTGACCACACAGAACTTAAAATCTAGTTGAACAGAGAGGATGAATATCTGCAAGGTCAATAAATGTGCTCGGTGCCAAATGAGTGTTGTGGTTATTTCAAAAATTTTGGTGAGCACCTACTCTGTGCCAGGCACCATGCTGGACAAGGAGAATTCAACAGAGAATAAGACACACCCCTAGCAAAGAGGACAACACAGGTAACTACAGACAGAGAAAGCTGAGGCTCTGAGCTCAAGTGTTCAAAGGAGACCATGTTCTTTCCACAAACATGTAGTGAGCACGTGTATTCTGGTAGTTAACTTTATTGTGACTTCCCTCCTTGGAGTAGAAGGGTGGCAGACACCGAGAGCCACTAGGTTCAAGAAATAGTAGGTCCTTACTCAACACCATCAATAGGTTCTTGGACACTGCAATTTTAAGCCAAATGAAATAATAATAAAAATGACTTTCCCATAAGTTTATTGATATAAACAAGAATTAAATTTCTAAGGCATATTTCTGGTCAGCAAAACATGACCAAACTTCTGAAGAAAGGGCAAAGTATTTCTAATAGTAAACATTGAAATAAATATGAGCTATACATACATACATTCAAGGAAGATTAGTAAGAATAGTCAAGATAATGGTTTACCCAAGTGTTGGTGAATTGGTGAATGACAGCAGTCATTGTGGCGGTGGGTTCAATTAGGAAACACGATTTGTAAATCAAAAATTATAGAGAGCATCTCCTACCATGTGGTTCAAAAACAAACAGTCACAAATGTGACAGGCTCACTTGACACTTTTGGACCACATCATTTATTGTCATGCATCTGTATGATTATTGTATACTTTGCAAATGTTTACTTTACAATCATTTATATTAATCCCTTCATTCAACCTGCTTATTTCAGTTTAGGGTCAGGCCTGGGAGCCTGTCCTGGTAGCCCAGGGTACAAGGTGGGACCCTCCCCAGGCCAGGATGCCGTCCTGGGTACACTCACACACCCACCCAGGCTCTCTTCACTCACATTGAGGAAAACGTTATCTGAGGGACTTCTGTAGTTCTTTCCTGAACTTCATACAGCCTGACTTAAGAAATCAAGCCATAGGCGAGTTTTCATCATTATAGCTGACAAATAAGGAAACAGGCTTAGCCTGAAGTTCAGGTGGGATAAAGAAACTGAACCAGGCATTTTAGACGCATTTGACATGAGAAAATATCATTCCTCACTTTTGGATAATTGGTACGAATAAATCTTCATATGTATCCTACTATGCGCACCTACTTGGCATAGTCAGAAGTTGTAAAATAGATATTCTCGGGCTTCGAAGGCCTTGTAAAATTCCAGTAGGAGTGGGCATGACAAACGGGTGGAACCTTTAGCATCACAGCATCCAAATAACAGTTCAAATATTAAAATTGCCCATGGGCTGTACTAATTGTGATATAGACTAATTCAGGCAATTAAGGCTAACTTGAATTGAGATATTTCTGTTATAGTTTTTATAGAACTCTTGATAAAGGAAGGGAGATACAAGCTGGAACTAAAGTCTATATAGTGTAAATAAACAAAAATAACTGCCCTTGTTTTATTGAGATACACACATACATACATACACACACACATAGGTAGTTATGCACCACATAGCAATGTTTCTGTCAATCACCAGCCATATATATGATGGTGGTCCCACAAGAAGCTAAAAAATTGCGAACATTGTAGCCGTTGTAATGTTGTAGCACAAGGCGTTACCTTTTCTATGTTTAGATACACAAATACTTAACAATTATGTTATGGGTACAGGCTGGAGATGGTACCAAGAGGTAGTTAAGGGCGTGTGCTTGCATATCAGACCATCTGGGACTGCATCCCAACGTGTTACATTCACTGTCCTGTGACCTTTCTAGGGCCATTTCATCCCGAGCAGGTTCACAGTTCCTGCAGCCTATACAGTCCTCAAAGGATCACAAAAATGTTGGAGATGTGGAATGTATACTCTGCAAATCCAAACGTTATACATGTTTACTAAAAGGTACATTATAGTCTATAATCCAATCCATTCTTATTCCGCCAACCAGAATAAAGTTTAAATCTCAAGAGCACAACGAATAAATTATGCATAACAAAATATGAACGTTCTTATGAAATGTACATCAAAATAACTGTAAAATTTTTATGTGTGAATTCATCTATTTGGAAGGATGTAAAATGATATGGAGTCTTGAAAGAAAGAGCATCTATGGGCTGAGAAAGATTTCAGTGGCCCCACAGTTAATGTCTCTATGTCTGTTACAGTTGTCAGTTTTATAGGGTTGTTTTAGAGAAAAAAAATGAGTTAGTACATGTGAAATACATATGAGGATTTCCAGCATAGTAGCCACTATAAATGTTTCTTTAGATTAACATCTTCATTATTATTAAGATATCCTTTCAATGACCACATACATCTTAAATAGATGCATTACTTCTGATTTTCCCTACAATAGTCTATTACATCAAAAGATTAAATATTTCTATATTGCTACAAAAGTAAAGAAACCAAACCATTTTCCTAGATACATTATTATACCAAGATATTATGCTAAGATATCTCACTCTAGATAATAGAGGATTTCTAGACAGAAAACATGTAACAGATATTATGCTAAGATATCTCGCTCTAGATAATAGAGGATTTCTAGACATTATATTCATGTAACAATGCAGGAGAATTCTAAGAATGCACCATGAAAGCAAGGTACTATTCTCCCCTCCTTATAGCATTGAATAAATGTATCAAATGTTTAAAAAGAAAGACCTTCACTTCAAAGGATACTGCCTTAGCTAAGTTTAATTGATAAACTAATATCCAGCACAATTGGCTGTGATAAAGTGAGGCTTAAATGATTTGAAAACACTTTGGAAGCAGACATATCAGATAATCACTGTCTTTATGGCTGGAAAGTTTCAGCTGGTGTTGACAAGTTGTAAAGATAAACGCTTAGTGCACAGTTAAGAGCTAAATGCCTAGGTTGGGTTCAGGATCAATGTCAATAAAAGTGTAAAAGCACCAAACTTGAAATGATCTCTCATAGTGTTCTGTTGTGCTGAACTTTTTGGGATAATAGCACAGGACTTCATTTACTGGAAAACTTTTGCTTGTCATTAGGCCAATACATTCCTCTGTTCTCTACCATCTACCCTACTGCTTAGAAGTCGTAGGTGTTGTGTGTTGTACCCTGCATTGCAGCTGCTGGTTTGGGAACAGTTCTATTGGCTAACTGTTAATAGCTTATGAGAGACTAGAATCAGACCTTACAATTTGTAGATACTTTTTTCTATAAGAAGCCAAGATGGAATTTACCTCATGGCTCCACTCTGATCTCAGCAAGCACAAATTCAAAAGAAGTTCTCTCATTTTTTCCAAATGCTATTTGCGTGAGTTGATTCCCTGTCGTGGAGCCTCAAAGTCCGTGGGAAGATGTCTGGGTATTGGGCGGTGTAAAGGATTCGCTGCATTTAGCTCCCATCAGTGTACTGATTGTGCCTGTAGGTGACGCCTCCAACATCTCCAACCTCTGTTTGCTTTTCTCTTTTGTTTACAGGAGCGGAGGGCACAGTGTTCCCTAAATCTATAGAAACACCTAATGTCAGGGCAGACCCCTTCAAGGAACTAAGGTAAACTTCTGACTTTGGTTTGCATTGATTAGTGGCTCTTGCCTTTTTCTGGGCAAGGGGCCAGTGATTCACTTTGAATAAATACTAGTGTCACCACATGAATGCATACATACATTGGGAGAATTGGAGAGGACTGGAAGATAAGGTGCAACCACAAGAAAACTTTTTCTAAGAACTTCAGAAAATCAAGACTCTGTAATAAGAGGTTGTTGCCAGCTTTGTAACTAGGAGATTTGGATTCATTCATTGTTTCCTGCTGTAGTCTGGGGAACAAAACCCATCCAGTTCCAGAGCTAGCTGGTAATTTGTGCTGATGAACTCAAAGAAAAGGGGTACATAAAAGAGGCTAAAGACTAAACCCAGGGCAGATGTTTTCTACATAACAAGCCTTCTTGACTTGGGGCAGTGGTGCTAGAACTTCCTTCTGTGAATATTCCACATACTGGTTTCAATCTTCAAATACGTTAAGTGTGCTGTTTTAGCAGAGGATGTCTGTGAGAATCTGTGTACTCTCTGGCAACTAGGGATAACAAAAAGAATAACAGATAGATAAATAGATAGGCAGACAGACAAGCAGTCATAGAGATGCAATGTAAAAACCAGTCCAGCCACCAAACAGTCCTCACCCAGCCCACAAAATGGAATACATAAAAAAAGTCATGTCGATGTACACATAACTGCTGTTTCTATTGTACTGATATAATTATAACTGCAAAGAATTCAGTGCTTACCGGCTTTCTTCACTTCTGGTAGTTCTTCTAACTAAAACCAATTATAAATCACAAATGACCATTAAATGGCATTGAATAACCTTTTCATGATAGATATCAAAAATGGTCAAATATGATCTGGGCTTGGTGGCTCACATCTGTAATCCTAGAACTCTGGGAGGCCATGGCAGGAGAATTTCTTGAGTTCGAGCCCAGCCTGAGCAAGAGCAAGACCTCATCTCTACTAAAAATCTAGGAAAATTCATGGGCATCGTGGTAGATGCCTGTAGTCCCAGCTACTTAGGCAAGGGGATGCTTGAACCCAGGAATTTGCTGTGAGCAATGTTGACACCATGGCACTGTAGTTTGTGCAAAAGAGTGAGATTCTGTCTCAAAAAAAAAAAAAATTGGCAAATGTATTTGCATCATATACGTTATGTCAACTTTTTCACATTGCCGTCTCAAGATCTATGCTTTGCGAAAACAGCAGGAGCTATGTTGAAGTTTGTATTTCTTATATCAGACACATTTTCAGTAAGTAGAAAATAGATCCCCTCATTACAGAAACCATAGTGCTTTTTGTAAGCCTGTAAGTCTTTGTGAATATAGCAAAATAAATTAACCCCAAAGAAGAAGATAATTGGTGGGGAATGAGAACCTTTCATAGCAAAATCCTACCTATAGTGGGCTATATTTTTAAGATTTCACACCATAGCACAAGGTTGTCCTCCTTACTGCCTTAACTGTTTTCAGCAGAGCTTCCACATACCAGAAGTTACTTGGCTCTCTGTCAGCTAGATCCTTTGTTTCATATAAAGTGGTAGAGCTGGAAACTTTTAAGTAAATGCATTTGCTTAGTGTTTTAGGGCTCTTGGAGAGAGAGCTATTCTCAGAGAGGGCAGTGAACCCTCATGTTTGTGATGTAAGAGCGGTTTGGAGACAAGCTAGTGGCTGGCTTTTTTTTTTATGCCCTTTGTAGGAGAACATTTCTTACAGAGATAGTCAGGAATTTGTGCTGGTCAGCCTTAAGAAAAGTACTGTCTGAAAGAATCTGAACTCTAAGTACAATACAGATTTATTTCCCCCCCTAAGGAACAAGCTTTCCATTACGTGGAAGGCTTGGGAAATATAGGTGGAAAGGATTTAGGCTAACTTGACTTTAAGGAACAAAAATAAGTCTTTTGTTTTCTGTTTGTTTGTTTGAAACAGAGTCTCATTTTGTCACCCTCGGTAGAGTGCCGTGGCGTCATATCTCACCGCAACCTCCAACTCTTGGGCTTAAGCAATTCTCTTGCCTCAGCCTTCCAAGTAGCTGGGACTATAGGCACCCCCCACAAAGCCCAGCTATTTTTAGAGGTGAGCTCTGACTCAGGCTGGTCTCAAACCCATGAGCTCAGCGAATCCATCCACCTCGGCCTCCCAGAATGCTAGGATTACAGGTATAAGCCACCATGCCCAGCCTTAAAATAAATTTTCTACAGTTAAAAAACAAACCTGGCCCAACCCAAACAAATGAAAAGGTAGCTCTCCATGCATTAGCTCACATTAGAAAACCACACTGCAAAGAACATAGACCAGAGTATCTGCTCATATGCTGCTATCACCGTAATGAGAGTGTCTATGCACAACCTATAGGAAACCTCGAAACTTACTTAAAAAATTAAACCACCAATATTTGCAAGTAAATCTCCTAAATCTAGTGCAACAAGATAAACATTTCGGCAGTTGTTTCATTTCTTTTGCTTATTTGAAAGTTATAAGTGTATTCTACAGAACCTAGAAATAAAATATTCTTATAGGAAGCATAAAAATATTTTCTAATGTCACTCTAAAACTCTTCTTTTGTTTGCCCCTGTTGTTAAAATCATGGTAGCCTGGACTGAGTCAAGGACTTAGACTTTATAGATTAGCTTCTCCTTCCTTTTGAAATTTTCTTTTCTTTTTTTTTGAGACAGAGTCCCATCGGTAGAGTGCCATGGTGTCACAGCTCACAGAACCTCAAACCTTGAGCTTAAGCGATTCTCTTGCCTCAGCCTCCCATAGCTAGAACTACAGGCACCTGTCACAATGCCCAGCTATTTTTGTTGTTGTTGTTGTTGTCATTACTGTTTAGCAGGCCTGGGCTGGGTTCAAACCCACCAGTGCCAGTGTATATGGCCGGCACCCTAACCACTAAGCTAAGGGCCCTGAGCCTGAAACTTATTTTTAATGGTAGTTTGTAAGAGAATCTCTCACCAATTGAAAAGATAACCAGTTGTAGTTGATACATTAGCCCAGAGCAGCATGTCTGTGAATGTTTCACATTTGTTATTTAATGCTGCCATGTTCTACGTTACTTTTTGGATTGGTATTGACCTTGGATGGGGACTAAATAATTAATGAACTTGGTGTTTAACTTTCTGGCCTCTGATGTTAGCACTGGATCAGTCTAACTTGGCCACATTCACACTGGTGTGTCTTCTAGGCCTAAGAAAGTATAGTAAATACTTTAAGTGAGGTTCCTGGCCCTGTTCAGCAGGTGGAGATGAGTGAGCTCTTTAGGTGAAGTGAAGGTGGACCACTGCTCAGTGGTGGCACTGTGCTAAGATCAGACACCTACTGCAAACCCACTGTAGGGGCCGGGAAAACTTCTCTCTTCACCTTCTGGACAGTCACTGAACATCAACTGACAACAGGCAGGTTAATATGAGATGGCATGCACATTTTATTCTAACCTACATAGCATAAGAATGATGACCCATGACCCAGGGAGGTAGAGACGCTTATATGCTGTTTTCATGGGAGAGGGGAAATTGGGGAAAGGTAGCAATTTGGGGAATAGAGAGTGCTTTTTAGGGAAAAATGAATGCATTTGGAGAGCCTACAATGGCCTGGGACAAAGTCTGTTGGACCTGCAAAGGAGACAATGATTTATGACAAAAGTCTGTCTAGGTGTGTTGACAGATTTCAATTTTCTTTCTGTGATATGAGTTCTATTAATGAAAACTCAGAGAAGAGACCAGAGTTAATTGTTCTCTTCCTTATGGAGTCCAGACGTCAGGCAGATAAGGGAACTTCGGAGAAAAGCTTCTGTCTGCTGGCCTCCATGGGCCCTTCATTTAAAAGAATCAGCCTACTGGGGTGCCATCGTTTGGGTGTATTGGTTTCTGAGCCCCAACATCACTATACAGCCTCATGCTAATTATGAAGGATCTCTGTCTGTAAAAAGCCATGTCATTTCTAGCTCTATCTGTCACTTTTCCTTAACAAGTTTGTAAATAATCAGAGTTACCAAGGTCTCTCCATCCCAGGCACTTTTCACTGACTTTACCCCTGCAGTGTCATTCTGAACTAATGACATATTCTAGATTCAAGGCTATACTTAAAAATATGCCACAGACCATCCCCCTCCCATGAAATAAGAAAAACTAACGTTGAATTTGAGTTGGATTTTAATAAATTCACAATCTTAAAATATGAATATATTAAATGTTCACTTAGTCGTTGTTCTTTTTTTTTTTCTTTTTCTCCTGAAGTCTACATAAAGAGAAATGGAAAACTCACTGATCTTAGGCTGTTCATGATCTGAAACAGGAGATAGGCTATTCGGTTTTGCATATGTATTTGCTGTAAGAACAGAGGCTTCCTTTGAATGCTTGCCTTGCTCTACAGATTGCTTTCAACTGTGAAGTTCCCTATTGGATTCTGATCCTACAAGAACAGGAAGTAGACTATGAAATCTTATTTCCCAGACACCTGTCATGGCAGATGTGAAAAGAAGGAAGAAAGTTATATAGACTACTTACTACCTTTACTCCTATAGTGAAGTAGGTCTTCCAAATATCTACCAAACCATGGAAGGAACCACAGGAAAGCAAGAAGCCAAAACGTCTTCCCATCCTCACTCAGCGAAGGTGCTGATGTTCTTTACATTATATACATTTATAACAAGGATGGTGACCTGATTATCCAGCTCCTTGAAGGTCCAGAACTGTCTACCAAGTATTTGTTGGACCCTTATGATGAGTCAAGATGTGTGATAAACACTTGGGGCACAGAGATAAATAAATGAGAGCTCAAATAGTTTATAGTTAAGTAGAATACAGTAAAAATGCAACACCAAAAATATAGTACAGTGTGATAAGATGGAGATAGGAACCAAGCCAGAGGAAACACAGATAATGACAAAATCTACTTCAAAGTGTGACACAAGGCTATCCAAAGAAAATGACATCTGGATCAAAAAAAAGACAGACAAGGTAAAAACTAATAAAAAGGTCTTAGAGGCCAGGCACAGTGGCTCACACCTGT